AAAAGTATAACTGGGTTCAAAAAAGAACTAGGTTCCTGGAGGATAGGTTCATCCATGGCTATTAGCCAAGATGGTCAGTGATGCAACCCCATGAAGCTGGGGGTTGGCCGACAGAGGATGGATCACTTGATAATTGCCCTGCTCTATTCATTCCCTGTGAAGCATCTGGACTGGCCTCTGTCGGAAGACAGGATACTGGGCTAGATGGACCATTGGTCTGACCCAGTATGGCCATTCTTATGTTCTTAAAATCTGAAGGAGTTTGCAACCCGTATTTGAAAATCAGAGGGAAAAGAGGCCAAATCTGAACGGATATTTTATCAATAATTGGCCATTGGAGAGAAAAGGCATTTAATCTGAAGTGACAGTTATTCATAGGGGCTTTAACCCCCACCACATCATCTGTCCATGATGTGGGGAATAGTTCAGGCCAACTGTTTTCCTCCAAAACCAGAAGTGCCTGCAGTTTAATATGGGGGGAGACCCCCAGACCGAGGGGATATTTTCATCTGTATTTGAGAATTAGAGGGGAAAGGAGGCAAAATCAGAATGGATTTGAGATCAATATTCAAAAATAGATGAGTGTCGACAGCTGAAGGGATTTTAGAGAAATGTTTGATAATTTGAGACGTACCAACATCTGAGGAGCCTTTTGATCAATATTTGATCATTAGACAAAATAGTGACGGAATCTGAGGGATCTCAGATCAATATCTGAACATATGACAGAAGTGTCAGCAGTGGAGGGCATTAGCCACGTGGGTGACCCCCAGCCCTTGACCTCTGACCTGTGTACACATAGACCCTGTAATTCAGGGGTTCTCAAACTGGGGGTTGGGACCCCTCAGGGGGTCGTGAGTTTATTACATGGGGGGTCACGAGCTGTCAGCCTCCACCCCAAACCCCGCTTCGCCTCCAGCATTTATAATGGTATTAAATATAAAAAAAAGTGTTTTTAATGTACAAGGGGGGTCGCACTCAGAGACTTGCTGTGGGAAAGGGGTCACCCGTACAGAAGTCTGAGAACCCCTGCTGTAATTGGTCTCCACGACGATGAAGCCCGGTTGTGGGTGTCCGTGGTGGTGCCAGAGATTCCTGAGGACAAGTTATAATCTACTGGGACTCCTCCTGTGATACTGAAGATCTTGTCCCCCTCTGTGGGAAGCCGTGGATGCAGAAGGGGAAAGATGCTAAGTCTCAATTGTGGATTGATCCTTTCACTCTGTCCCTGACCCGTCTGTGCCAGAGCAGTGACTCCCCTGCGCTCTGCTGCCATCTCAGAGCCGCTCCCCATTCAGAGCCGGAAAGGCGGAAGTTGCCTGATTCCCTCTCCAGCTAGAGCAGAGTCTGTCACTGACACAATCAAACCCTCCTCCGAGGGCTCAGCTCGCCCCCTAGCGGTCGGGTACCTTTCTGCAGTGAGTGTGACTCTAGATCAGGGGTAGGCAACCTATGGCACGTGTGCCGAAGGCGGGGCACGCGAGCTGATTTTCAGTGGCACTCACACTGCCCCGGTCCTGGCCACTGGTCCGGGGTCTCTGCATTTTAATTTAATTTTAAATGAAGCTTCTTACACATTTTAAAAACCTTATTTACTTTACATACAACAATAGTTTAGTTCTACATTATAGACTTATAGAAAAAGACCTTCTAAAAATGTGACAATGTATTACTGGCACACAAAACCTTAAATTAGAGTGAATAAATGAAGACTTGGCACAGCACTTCTGAAAGGTTGCCGACCCCTGCTCTAGATCCAGACACAGCTCACCCCCAACTCATCCTGTCTCTGCCTGACAATCCCCCGAGAGTTGAGTCTGCTGCCTGTGTGCTGGGCTGTGTCTGATTCACCTCACGGAGGCATTACTGGGAGCTGGTGATCCAGGTGGAGGGAGTCTGTGAGCAGGAAGGGATGCATCAGCTGTAACCCAGAGGACGGGACGAGGGCTGTGGAGTGGAGCAGGGGCGAGTACTGGGATCTCACTTCCCCTGCGCAGATCCCCCTCACCCTGAGCTGCGACTCCACCAAGATCCAGATTTCTCTGGACTATGAAGGGAGGCAGGCGGCATTTTTCGATGCTAATACTTGGGAGCCAATGTTCACTTTCCCACTGGGCTCTTTCACCAGGAGACAATCCACCTGTTCTTCTGGATGGGAATCGAGGGACTCCCTGCCTTGTTCACGACTCTGAGCCAAGAACCGGGGCTCATACTCTGTCCCCGAGACATGCCCCATGAAACACACTCCTGCAACCTCCAGCATCCTACTCTCTGTGACCCTGGAGGACCCAGCCAGCATCTCCCCATAGAGCTGCAGCCATGACCCATCCACAAAGCCATAAAGATAGTTATAAAGAGGGGCTGGGGAGCATCACTCCAGCCATCTCTCTTTGTCTGGGGAGCTGTGTGAAGGTCAGAGAGGCCCTCTACGCTGGGCCTCTATGCGCTTGGAGGCCAACTTTGTCAGGAGTGAGAAAATGCTGCTTTTAGCTAGGGTTACCATTCGTCCTGATTTACCCGGACACGTCCTCCTTTTTGTGCTAAAAATAGCGTCCGGGGGGAATTTGTAAAGCA